TGAAATATAAAAATGCATTTCAGATTATGGGGAATCTAACTTTTTTCTTTTACTACGTATAGCTGAATTGTGATATTTTGGGTGCTTACAGCTAATGGAATGAAATGAGTTGTTGTGCCTGTTTGTATAGATATTAGTTGGATGGGAAAAAACGATGAGAGGTGTGAGTGGCTTAGCACGTCACAAGTATAATGGAACTGCAATGGAAATATGAGCACTCATGGATTACTGACTATGATCCTGAATTTTTATTTCAATAGTTTCTGATACGGGCATTGGAAGCACTTTGGAGGAATTTCAAGTATTGAAATACCAAAACGATTCCATCTGCGGCAGTAAATGGGGTAAGTGGAGCTGCTATACATTACCATTTCATTGAGTTCAGCGAGAACCTTTCTCATCATAATGTGAATGTTACTCCGTTGAGTGTGAATTTTTGTCTCTGACCAAATAAGTCTTATGAATTATATTTTACAACCTTGTGTGGGACGCCTCCGTTTTGATAATGTATTTGTTAATTATATCTGCAAATATTACTGGACTACAGGTCCCAACGAGTTTCCATTGACTCATTGTTGTTGTTCGCAATTGATAGATAACTCAATTCCATGTCCTACAGTATTTTTCAGTGTGTTCAGATGATGTAATAACAAGAAGTGTCACAATTTGCAGGTGGAGTTCTTTGCATTGCAAGCACAAGTAAGTTTCACTATCAAATAGAATTTTGTTTTGCTCAACAGTTCAGTGTTATGTGCTAATAAATTTTGCTTGTTGGATATCAACATGTAATCTATGTATCTGATCTTAAGTTTTTTTTTTTTTTTTTAAAAAAAAAATATTTTCTGGCTTAGCATTAGAAATCAAGGAACATAGATATATTCGGCACATTGAAATGAACTTACCAACCATTTGTGATTAATATACCAAATCAGAGAATTAAATGATATCAATATATACTTACATACCTATCCAACTTCGACTGAGTTATAATATCTTCTTTTCATGTATATATTATTATATAAACTATGTTGGATCATACAATAGTAGTTGAATCTATGACTTCTAGTACTGTAGATCACATATCAAACGAGTCATGAATAAAACCTAAAGTACATGCTTCACGAACTAAAACTGCTGCTGCAATTGGAATAATGAGGAATGAACTTTCTAGATATATGTTTTTAGTAAATGTCTCGAGTGAAAATTGAGCGTGGATAATTATTGCATAATGTTTCGCAGAAGTGTCAGCTTTATTCGATAAGAGAATACGTAGACCTCATTTATAGCTGAAACATTATTTCTCATTCTCTAGAAGCGTGTTGAATAAGAGTTCAAACCTTGAAGCTTTAAGTGTTTTGTTCTTATTCCCTCCCCTTCATTAATAGAGACACAACGGGAAAAAAGAAAAGGAAACGTAAAACAACATAGGAAAATATCTAGGCACTTGGTGCCCATCATAAATGTCACTTTCTAGAGTAAATATAGTGCCCCATGTTGAAAAGAACTTCACATGGTGATGATGATCAGAATATCTAGGTACTTGAGTATTGAGTGCTCATTGTAAATGTCACTTTCTATAGTGAAATATAACATGCATGTTTAAGAGCTTCATACAGTGATAATGACAAACTTTGGACCAAGATGCAATTAGTAATTTTTAGGTGACATTTGGACTGCTTAGAAGTAGCATTGGGTTTGCAGTTTGATAATATCAAGCAGAAATTTCATGGTGGGGCAAGTAGGGTAAACTTCTACTGCAATTGGATACCATAGGGACCTGTTTTTAAATTGTCTTCCAAATGCAGAATTAGTATTCCAATGAGTTTCCATCCTTTAACCATATCCGTTCTTCGCGCTGAAGGCATCTCTGATGAAGAAATTCATCACTTCAAATTTGACTTGAACGAAGTTGTTTCCTCAAGAAGATTGGTGAGGCTGACTTCAGCATCAAAGAATGGTGCAAAATTCAGGCACTGTGTCCCCTCCTCTTTTGTGCTGCTGCTACTACTACTACAGAAAACTGCTCTATAACTACCATTCTGACAAACTTAATTTCCTTACATTTTTTCAGTGGAACTGAAGTATCATTTTCAGTGTGTGAAGAAACTGATGGCATAATCACAATGTTATCTTCCTTCATCCAGAAGGTTGGAATCCCCGTGTCAAGTCACTGAACTGATTGTTCGTTTCCAGAGATCTACGAATCTCTAGTGGCTGCACACATTGCTTTGTTGCTAATGTTCAGTCCATTTTCCTTTTTTTTGTTTTTTTTTTTGTTTTGTTTGCAGATTCTTCTTCTGAGAGCACCTGTAAGTTTGTCAAATATTTGATGTTAAATTTTTTGCTTCAATAAAGTGTCAATTTTCAGCAAAACTACTATCGTGAGGCAACCAGTAAAAGTAGGGGTGGCAAATTGTGTCATCGTGTTGTGTTTGTGCCTATCTATCGTGATCTCGGGTTATCTATCTTATCCGATCCTATATAGGATAATAAATCCCGATCTAACTAAATTTCCATTTCCTGTTTCCACGCCGTGCTTTATGTCATGTCGTGCATGGCTTTTCATGTTTTATTGTTTCTATAACAGTATTTTTAACCGGGTCATGTTCATATCGTGTTTATCCTGTTTGTTTGTCATTGCTACTCCTGAGTAAAAGTCTGAAAAAATCTACTTCATGTGTTGTGTAGAGGACTGACCTATTCCCCCTTATTAACATACTTCAGGGAGTAAGCCTTTAATCACCTATAATTTTATGTATTACAATCTCTAATCTTTTACACACTTTTGGCCCTCATACCTATTTCAGACATGTCGAATGGTTCAGTTTACTGCCTTAATGATATTGGTCTCTTTACTCTGATGCATTATCCTCTGACTTGTTCATCATCTGTGTGTTTCTCCAGAAAATTGCAGTTGAACTGATAGTTGAATCGTGTGACAAGTCACAGCCTGAAAATATTATTGTGCAAAATCCATGTGGCACCCTGTCTATGCATGCAGCAAACATTGATTACCTGAAGTTGGGGCTTAGAGACTATGTTTCCAAGCATGGAAACAGACTGGCTGAAGCTTGCCAGTCTTGCTTTTCAGCTGGGTGTGTTCTAGTGACAAAAATTCAGTTTTGCATGACTTGGTTCATCAATTTTTTCTCCTTGCCTTTTGCTGTGGAAAATAGTATTTCATATTTGATAGGTCTTTAAGGCGTTTTACAAGCTTGCCGATCAGGTTTGAGATATTATCTCCTTAATAACATACAACTTTATCCTGGTGAAAATTTCAGAAAGAATCTTAAAGTTGGCTCTGGAGTAGCTTGTAGCCGAGGAAATCAACAAAGTGGCAGACAAGTGATGGAAGTTGTAATTGTCATTAGTGAAGCACCAATGCCTGATGAACCTTCCTGCTTCAGGTCATATGGCAGAAAATCAGAGGTTTGTTCTTTCTACCAGTAATTTTGCACAATATGGTATCAAGGAGATCAAAAACTAAATTCCTTCCACAACTTTCCTAAAGTCACCCAGATATTCTTATGGTAGTTATTCCTGTATGCATTCATCTTTACACTCAGCTCAGTCCTTGCTTTAGTTTCAGTTTGATTCTTTCTCTAGTTTCCATGAAGGAATTCACCGATCTTGCTTAAAAACATGCTAGTATTATTTATCTGTAAGCCGTAAAATTTTTGCTAATGTTTATTCAAAGAGATGGATATAGAAAATTTCGGATAGTTTTGTTCTCTGCAACTAGCCAACTATGTGTTCTCATTTCAACTAGTCAGTTTTCATTTCTGCATCAGGTCTTGTACTTCAGAGACTTCACACCCTGCTCGATATCACAACCATCCCTTGATGCATTAACCAGCATTGAATGGAAAGATTATGGGCTGGTTCTAAAGAGTGTTGGTGATGAAGATGGTGTTACGTTGTTAGAATGGGATAACTTGCCACCTTGCTCCCGAATCGACATAGTGCTCCACAATCATCGTAAACAGTATCCTCAACTTTATATTTTTAATTTGCAAAAAAATATGAATCTTATCTTCCAGTAATTGGAACTTCTATGTGAAGCCATGAAATTTGCCTCTTCTATATCGGATTTTTATGATGGACCATTGGTAATGTCCAAACTTACTGAGTATAACTTCATAGTTTCGTCCTCAACTTTCACATAAGTTTAAGTTCTTTAGTTTTTGTCGTTGTGGTGGAGCCATGGGATCTCATTGTATCAAATCACTTATCGATGCATACACAAAAAATGCATTTCCTTTTTTCTCCTTAACTTACGGCTAGGCTAACTACACTGCCTTGCTCCGAGAACAATCAGATTGACAGATTGCTTACCAGAAAAGCTGTGAAGCTTGCACTCACTGAATTGAAGAAAAAGAACGCAGGACTCTTGCTCAGTGAACGTGCTGTCAAGGTAGAACGAATTTTACCTTTTAATTTGGGACTGAGAATCATGATATAGAAACTCTTTTAATCCTCTTCTCAAGCAAGATTCTGTCTTGATGTTGTCCTAAGCAAGAACTTCGATATCACTCCCGGGTTACTTATTTATGTACTATCCATGACAGTTTCGGATCAGTGACAATGCCCAACAGAAATACAATTCCGTATATTTTTTCTTGTCTTTCTTTTGGCAAACTTCAAGTGATGTTCGTTTTGCAGATGTGCAAATACGCACCTGATCTGGCAAAAACAATTTCGGGTCTCATAATGTCTTCGCGTGACCCGAGTTTCCAAGCTGAATGTCTCTCTCTTCTTGGCCTACAGTCTGAAGGAAACGAAAAGGATGCCGTTGCGGATTGCATAAAGTACAAGATAATTTCTGTTGTTGCAGCAAACGACAGAAAGTCCCGTAGTACCAGGGAAGCTTCGACTCTCTTTTCAGATGATGCTCACAGTGGAGTATACGTGCCAGATGATGCTCACAGTGGAGTATACGTGCCAAATGAGGAATGTGAAGAAGGTGAGCGAGGATTTGATTATGTCTGATTTGTAATTGTTTTATTTGCCCCATGTCGATGGTGATCATCCAAAGTTCTGAATAATCATTCTTATTTCTTACACTATCCCTCTTCTTCATATGATCCTCTCTATTAAAAGTTTGGGGGACAATGGCGCCGCTTGAGCGTATGCGCATCATCCATTCAAACCAGAATCAATGCGAAGATATATCAGTTCCCCAAATAAACCAAAAATAAAGATTAATAAGAGAATATATGTAAAAGATCATCTGTAACATTGTATATATAGCTAGTGTGTGGATATCCTCGAACATAACTATAATAATGCATGCAACTCTTTATTTCAACTACTTGTCCTTGAAGTGTTTGGACGAGTTTTTTCCATAGTTACAATATATCACAAAGTTCCAAGTTCACATAAAAGGGAGAAACATTAGAAAAACGGACATTATAATAAAAGCAAGCAAAAGATAAAGCTGTTGCATTGCAGTAGTAGTAGGAACCCCCTTGTTTCTTCAGGATGCTAGTTTCGACTGGTTTCGAGCTTTTTCCTCTTCCTTCACTTCACTCCCTTGACTCTCATCAAAATCTAATTCAGCCAAAAAAACAAATCGAACTCATTTTTCAGGATTTCAACTCACAAGATTCAATTACTCCAATTACACCAAAATTAAACAAATAAAAAGGAAATATGTTCAAATTGACGAATATATATGGGAAAATTTTCAATTTTGGTCCATATTTACTTGTCTAAAGTTCTTTTTTTGGTACACTTTGCAATTTGTATCAATTCTTGGACATTACTCATTACGTTATGTTGCAATATTAGTCTCGAAAAATAATGAACTATTTTCGTGATGATGTCCCATGTTACGAAGGAAAAATTAGTGTACCAAAAAAGAACTTTAGACAAATAAATAAACCAAAATTGAATTCTTGTGAATGTATATATACCAGTGTCTTTGCCATGGACGTTTTCCTCTTCATCGTCCTTGCCAAGGTATTGGTTTCCTCCATAGATTCCACCGAACCCTTCCTCGTCTGACCTCGTCGCATATCCTTCGCCCATTGACGACATTGTATCCCTACTCACATATCAAAAACATGCTAAAAGGCCAATTAGTAGCACACCACCTTAATCTCTACCTATATATTAACAGATTCTCACGATTCGAATGACGAAAATCTATTGTTTATATATTATTTTTGTTTTGGAGTTAAGTTTGACATTAGACATAAATAACTTTTATTATATATTTTTTTATGTTGTACACGGATATTCTACTAGTAATATTTTTATTTTCCAAGGATAATCATAAAAATTAATAGTTTAACAGCGAATTTTGTCAAAAACTAAGTAAATAAATATATAAAATAAAATCATGTAACCTGATGTTGGACTTTTCTGGGCTTTTCTTCTGATCCATTTCTTTCGCTGGGCTTTTTTCCTGATCCATTTCGTCGGAAGAATCGGTTCGGTTGGGCTCAGATCCGGACGACGCAAACCTTAAACCCGACGGCTTTCGGGTAATTGTATGATTTGGCAAGTTCGAGCACGAGAAAACTGGTATGTAGTGCTGCTGTCTTCTTGTTGATCTTAGCGCATTAATCATTTTCATCAACCTCCCTATGTACACTGAGCTGCTCACCGATTTTATATATATATATATATATATATATATATCTCGTTAAAAAATTGAATATATAAAATTGTTACAATACATAAAGATTGCTCGTGGATCGGACACGTGTTCTATACTCTGCTGCGTGGTGTTATGTGATATATGGGTTCTAGCAGCTTCACACGTGTCCGTTAGGTTTAGACACGTGTTCTATCTACATAAGAAACTTGTCGATTTTTTTCTTTTTAGTTTTTTCTCTTCCCGATTAAATTAAAGAAGGTAGCGGATCGTTTACTACTAGATTGAATCCGGGTCGGACCTAATTTAGCTTTAATTTATTATTTTAATTAATAGTTATAATGAATCAAGTACATAATGATAATTTATTATTTTAATTAATACGGTTAGTTATGATGATATCTTATTAGGATATCTTCACTTAATGTTCCAAAATACATTTGATATAGCACATAATGATAATTAGGTGAACCGGTTGATACTCAGCGGCGGATACAAAAATTTTTATCAGTCAGGACAATAAAAAATAAAAAAAATACTCGAAATTTTTTAATTGGTGTTTATTACATACGAACTTTACCTTCTATAAGAAATTTTCCCATTCAGATTCTTCTTCTCTCATTTTTTAGAGTTGTCCTGTCGTGCTTGTTTATTAAAGTTCTTGAAAAAACAAGAAAAAAATTTATCTCAATTCCAAATCTAACTCGACTTTAACTCAATCTCACTAATCCTCAATATTATTAATATAATTAAATAATACTATTCAACTATTTTTACACATTACATCAACTTTAATTCACTATTCATCCACTCACATTGTTTTAATTAAGTAGCTATCATTTCCAATCATGTATCTCAAACTTTTAAATCAAATCAATTCTAAGCATTTTATTTTAAATATTATTGTAATAAATTCTTACCAACAACTAATCATATCAACTTTGTTCAAATAAACTCTAGTTAACACAAAAAAAGAAACAAAATTTTTCTAGTTTTTTTTTTTTTTTTTTAATAAACAACCACGGCCTTACTTGCCCCGACCAAATCCATAGCGTTAACAATATCTTGATCATCTCTTTATAATTCTATAACTCATTCGTTAAGTCTAAAATTTTTCCCATTAGAAGAAGACAAAATATGAAATCATATGATTGTACATGCCCAAGCAACAAATTACATTGTCCTCTTTGATCAACAATAGCCTCATGCATCCTCGATGATCATTTCCATAAATTTAATTATAGAAGAGAAATTGTTCGACTTCATTTTATATAGAATATTACAGAAAATTAAAATTATTTTTATAATATCTCGCAAGTTCTCCAACTTTGCCTTTCTTTATAAATATTTATTTAAAAATCATAACTACATATGTTTAGCAGCAAAAATCCAGCCTGGGCAGTTGCCCAGACTGGACTAAGTGTCGGTCCGCCCCTGTTGATACTAGCTCGGTTTATGAGCCGGAGCTAGCTAGGACAATGGGTTCGGGATAACATGAGGGAGTATATGAGCTTGGCTAATTATCTCAGAAGTCTGTAGGTATTGGAGAGATCGGCGCACAATAGCTCTACTTAAGAATAGCTCGGTTGCAGTGTCGGGAGTTCGACGTATAGCAGCTCTAGTTAAGAGTAGCTCGGATATCTACGAAGTCTGTAAGTGTTTAAGAGCTCGGCGAACAACAACTTCAGTGGTGAGTAGCTCGGCTATGAAGACAGTTCGACTGACAGTGAAGATAGGCTGTGGACGGAAACTGAGGATGTCATGAGCTCGACATTAAAGTAGCTCGACTTAGCAATGAAGCTGGCTGTGAACGGAGACTGGGAGCGTCATGAGCTCGGTATTAGGGTAGTTTGGACTTATAATATGGTTAGACTGAGCAAATAGCCGGGGAACAATGGGATCCCGATACAAGGGAGTTCGACATATAGTGTAACAGAAAAATGGCTTGGTAGGGGAGGCCTACACGAAGAAATATATATATATATATAGAATAAAGGTCGAGCTAGCAAGGTAGTTATATAAGGTGGTCCCTCACGGACACGTGTAAGGTCAGGATTGAAAAGGAATAAATGATCTAACGGATGAGGAACAAAGCGTACGAGAGAAGTTAATAATCCCATATAAATCGGTAAATTGGGGAATAATGTAAGGTTAATCACATTTTGAAACCTAAACACAACATACAGTTGCATAAAGCTTTCCTCTACCTTTTACTGACATGAGCGTCAGAGGTTTAACTCTGGGAGCACTTCTCGGCGTCTTTGCAGGTCTCCGAAGAGCAAGCGGGTGAAGACTAGTGGAAGGCCAGTTCGAAGTGCAAGAGCACATCAACATTTATATAAGAAAAATAACAATCAAGCATAAAATGAAAACTAAAATACAAAATCACTTCGCATAAAATGCAACTGAACATTCAATGATTGAGTCAAATGAAAACTAAACACAAATAAATAATTTAGCAGCTTAGACAACATGAGGTTTCAAAAGATCTACATTTATACTCAAATCACACATCAAACAAATGATTTAGCTGCTTGGACAATTTCAGGACTTGAAAGATCTATTACATCTATACACTATATAAGTTGGTATGAATCTAGTAGTTTCTGTTTTCCTACTTGTTTCATATAACTTACATGAATTTGGATAAACATAAAAATAATGGTTGCTCGTGTGATTTGACATTGTGAAGATTTGATATGAGACATGATTAAGAAAAAGCAAAAAATATTAAGGATGATTTTGAGAGCTAAACAATTTTGATATATTTTCCTTGGATGAAATTAACATTCTGCTGCTTGTTCATTTTTATACAACAGATTAGAGGGATTTAGAATAGGGACACCTAGGCTAGGTAAAAACTGAAATTAAAAATTGAATATTACCCCCAAAAGGGTAAAAGAACAATTTATTCCCTCACAACTTGCAGAGGCCATTTTTCCTCTTTGTCATCTTGTATGGCTGCATGCACTGCTATATTTGGACTCTCTTGTACCATATCATCAGTATGGAGGGGTCTTGCTCATCTTACACGTGCATGATGACGTGGAAAATAGTGCTGATGGGGACTGCCAATCCTTTTATCCTCCCTCATTTCGAACATCGATCTTGGCATAACATTGGGTTGTGCTCGAAGTCGATTGAAGAATTGTCCACTTAGAGGCTTAGTGAGAATACCAACAACTTGATATAGAGTAGGAACATGTTGGATTGTGTCAATCTTCTTGTTCACTTGCTCTCTTATAAAATGCATGTCAGTGTCAACATGTTAGGTTTTTGAGTGTTGAATTGGGTTGCAGGCTAAAGGCTATTGCTCCTATGTTGTCTACCCAAATAGTAGAAGGATTTTGATGTTCAAGATGTAGTTCCCTCAGTAATGACTGAAGCCACATGATCTCACAAGTGGTTGATGTCAAGCTCCTTAATTCAGACTCTGTGCTGGATCTGGATACATATATTTGTTTCTTTGAACTCCAAGCTACTAGATTCTTCCCAAAAAAAAATAAATAAATAAATAAAAAATCTTGATGTAGACTTTCTATCATCAAGATCTGAAGCCCAATCAACATCAACAAATGAAATGATTTTTCTATGAGAATCCTTATAGAATTGAAGTCCAAATTCAGTTGTTCCTGATAAAAACCTTAGTAACCTTTTTAATGCCTTGAGATGAGTGTTGGATGGATTTAGCATAAACTGACTCAACTTGTTGACACTTAATGCAATGTCAGGTCTAGTGATGTTTGCATATTGAAGGGCTCCTATCAAACTTCTATAGAGATACACGTCTGATATTGGTTGGCCTTCTGATTTTGATAATGGAGTATTGAACATAGGAGTTTTTTATAACCCAAAAAATGTGCACATTTTATATTTTAGTAGTGTATTTTTATACACTTAATTTGTTACATGTTTATATTTTTTGGACTTATTTATTATTTGGATGGATTCAATATACATTGATATTTCTATATTTAAGCATATTAGATTATTTTTGTATGGGGCGAAGCCGTTGACAAGAGTTCAAGTAGCAAATATCGTAGTGTCCGAGATCAAGTGAATTAACGCTCAAGCCCAGAAAAATCAAAGCGTTGTTTAAAACTTGGGGCCCAAAATCAAATGTGGGATGCTCAACTAACCGGGGAAAAGAAATACCGTTTAAGGCCAAAAGAAAGTGCATTATTTGGGTCGAAGCAGCCAAACCCATTGGAGGGAAAATAATTGAGAATTCTATTTTCTTTGTGAAAACAAAATGGTGAAAACATGATTGATGCATTCATAAGAGAAGAAGATAAGGTATCCATTTTCAGCTAAGGTTTTTGCTTCAATCAAGGAGACAATACATTAATCAATGCGGCTAGGGTTCAGTAGCATTTATACTTGCAGGACAAGCCTTGCTTTCTCTCACTCACACACATTACATTTTCATTAACCACCACAAGATTATTACACGTACATGCATCCTAAGCCTTCATGTGAAGCTGCATGGGTCCACAATGCCTCAGGGGCAAGCTGGTCATTTCTTGCGCATGAAGACGAAAGATCTGCTGGTGAGATGATGTGGAACAAGTCTTGACTTCAGTCCAAGGTTCAACACGCCCTCTCAATTCGAGCGAGCTCAGGGGCACCACATGCAATCTGTTTCTGAGGCGAGAGAAGGATTGAAAGCTCAATGGCTTAGTCATGATGTCTGCCACTTGGTCATGAGAGGGAACATGATTAACTGCTATGCTTTTGGCTTCTCTCTTTTCTCTAACAAAGTGAATACCCAATTCTATATGCTTAGTTCTTGCATGCAAGATAGGATTTGTGGCAAGATAAATGGTACTGAGATTATCCACCCAAAATGTAGGAATTGAGGAGCATTTGATGTTCAACTCCTTCATAAGGGATTGCAGCCAAGTGATCTCAGCTACATTGTGTGCAAGACTTCTGTATTCTGACTCAGTGCTAGACCTAGAAATGGAGTTTTG